ACAGGAGTCACTGACATAGTCCTAAGGGCAGAAAGAAATTGAGGATGGGAAAGTGATGTTTCTGGTTCCCTCAACACCCCAATACAGCATATTGTCTGTTTCCCTGTGCAATAAATGACAGCTCTCGTCAGCCAGCCCTCTCCTCCCAGCCCCTCCAAGAATAGCTCTCTACTTCCTGTCTTCACTTCTAGGAGTGGTTGCTCTTCCTCACTCTTGGGAACCACTCTATCCTTTATTGGTTTCCCAGAACCCTGATCAGTCTTTGGAAATTGCCCCATTACTAACCTCTCCACAATTTCATGCGCTTGAGTATACCCTGTGCTTTCTTTCAAGACTCTAGCTGATATATCAAGAAGGAAAAAATGACAAAATTTTATTTAAAACTTCATAATAAGACAACCACACCACCAGCAAGGGAAGGGAGTGGGGGAGGACGGGAGGCAAGAAAAAGTCAAACAGGAGGATTTTTGTAATGTCTGTAACTGACAGAGAATCGCCATCTCAAATGCAAAAGGAGCTACACATCAATAAGAAAAATGGGGAAGACATACAAACAGGAAATTCATAGAGGAGGTAAGCAGAATAAGATAAAGCAAAACAAAATAAAACCCCGGGGGATTATAAATTTTCAGTCCCTACACCACCTGTGAGCCTCCTCACGTCTTCTGGCTTCCTGGGCAGCTGTGGGGGGAGAGATGGCTGGGAGATGGGCACTGGAGACAATCAGGGCAGAGTGCTCTTTTCAGGCTCATCTGGGAATGACAGCAATAGGGCAGTCACTGGAGGGGTTACAGAGGACGTCACTGGGGGATGAGGTTCGGGATAAGATCCAGGCTGGCATGGTATTGATGGAATTGAGTTTCACAGTAGTCTGGAAGAGATTGAGGCAAAGAATTATGGGTGAGGACAGATGGTAGTAAACTTGGTGAGGGCAGGTGGAAGATTGAAGAAGTTCATCCCTGATGGTCTCTTACTTGCTCAGAATATGAGGAAAAGATAGAGACTGGCAAGGACTGCTGAGGTCCCACTAAGGTAGAGGGTAAGGACGGATGATCTCCTGACTCTGGGGTTCTTCTACACAAAACTGGTCTATGCCAATTTGTTCCAAACCGTCCTTTCTACATTTCATAACTCCCTCCCTAAAATCGTAGACTTCTGCCCAACTGGACAACCCCTAATTTCCTCTTGGTTTCAGCTCAGGCCATGATCTCAGGGTTGTGAGACTGAGCCCTGTGTAAGTGTGAGATTCTCTCTTTCCCTCTGGCCCTCCCCTCCACTGGTGCACTCTCTCTCTCCAGATAAATAAATAAATCTTTAAAAAATTTTTTTAAAATAAAAAAATAAATTGCCCCCATCTAATAATTAGCACACTAAAGTCCTAAAATTCTTCTATTGGAAACCAGGGTTATTTAAAATAATTTGTTGAGTTTTATTGAGATTTAACTAACATACAGCACTGTGTAAGTTTAAGATGCACAGCACCTTAAGAATAATAAGAATAGGGGCACCTGGGTGGCTCAGTCGGTTAAGTACCTGCCTTCAGCCAAGCTCATGATCTCAGGGTGCTGGGATCGAGCCCCGGGAGCCCCGCATCGGGCTCCCTGCTCCACGGGGAGCCTGCTTCTCCCTCTCCCTCTGCCTGCCGCTCCCCCGTTTGTGCATGCATGCTCGCTCTCTCTGTCAAATAAATAAAATCTTTTTTAAAAAGAATAATAAGAATATGCTGAGTAATATTCTTTATCCATTCATCCATCAGTGGACAGAGGTTATTTCCATGTCTTGACTATTGTAATAACACTACTATGAACGTGGGGGTGCAGATGTCTCTTTGACAAAGTTTTTTCATTTACCCAGAAGTGGAATTGCGGGATCATAGGGTAGTTCTGTTTTTAATTGTTTGAGGAGCCTCCATGCAGTTTTCCTTAAGCGGCTGCGCCAGTTTACTGTCCGACCAACAGTGTGGACAGATTCCTTGTCTCCCCATCCAGGCCTGCATTTGTTATTTCTTGTCTTTTTAATGGTGGTCATTCTAACAGGCTTGACGTGATATCTCATTGTGGTTTCGATTTGCTTTTCCCTGAGGATTAATGATGTTGAACATCTTGAATGATTTTAAAGCGTTGGAAAAGAGATAATGTAGTGAAACAATCGTTTTTACGTATCTTTTTGTGTTAGTTTGGGATAAATTAATAGGATATGCAAATAAAATAAATATGTATTTTTTTCTAACAAAGCCACATAGATTCCTCTTTCAGGATTTTAATAGTCCATATTTCTCCATTTGGAAGTTAGGACTAAGGATTTACAAGTACAACTAGAAAATTAGTTACTTTGCCTGTATTTTGTTATTGGAGCTCCAAATTCAGTTCAGTACAATGCACACTGTTGAGTACTGGTTAGGTTCAAGGTACTGTGTTTACGACTGGGGAGAGGAAGGAGTTGAATGCAATACAGGAAGCCTCTGACCGTGGAAATGTATAATGCTTGTACATAAAATAGCGTTATTCCAAGTAATTTCAATCTCCAGTAGTCTGCACTTTTCCTGCAGGCGTAGAGGTAGATGTATGATCTCCAAATAGGTGTGTTTTCCCATCACAACTGACCTTCAGGTTTGCTTAAAGCAATACTGCCCGCCCCCCTCCTGCCTCACCTTTGTTTAATGAGAGCCATTTCCTAATGCCAACGTTGGGTTAATGGACTGAGATGGGAGAAAATCAAACGTATCTCTTCGTTTTACACCAGATTGCCTTTCTGCCTTGTGGCTTTAATCACTCAATCCTACTCACATCTGCCATAATAACAATTATGGCTTTTCTCCTGACTTCTTACCCAGGAGGATATGTCAGAGTAAAGCAACATCTCCCGAAGAAAGGAAGGGCAAATTCTTCATCTCTTTCCAGCATCGTAGGTAATAATTTTCCTCTGCAAACCCTCAAGGAGTCTCTCTTTTGGCTTTTCACATCTACTATTCCCACAGGTTCGTGGCTCTGTTCTGATTTATGCGTTTTCTTCTATCCCCTTTCTTCTGAGATAAGTTTTAATTATGTAGACAGATTGTAAAAATCTCTTTCTTCTTGTAAACAGCTATTTTGCTGTTAGTACTGGATTTTGTTTAACTGGTTTCTCCTAACTGAATCTTCTTGTGCACCCAGGAATTATGTCTGTTCGTTGTTTAACTGCAGCATCAAGACAAGAGAAAGCTGGCTTCTCGTAGTTTCCCTTGAGGGACCCAATCTTGGAACACCTCAGACTGCAGCTCTCCCTCAGGAACTGTTCTTTGTTGCATATGTTTGAAAAGCCCATAAGATTTTAGCTTTGAATCAATATAAGAGTAAAGCACCACCCATCAAATAGCAGTATGATGATACTTTCAGTTCTACTTATTTAAAAACTTACTCTACTAGCAAAATAAAGAAAATGCTTGAGATGCTCAGAAGCCCTCATGAAAAACTGTGACCCCTTCCTCAGGTGACTCAGACAAGTGGATTCTAACAAACTCCTCAGGTAATTCTCATAATCACTGCTCTTCCTCTGGCCCCTTCTGGGTAATAATTAAAATATAAAGAAAAAAATGTATTTATATCATGACTTTTTTTGTCCTGCATACACACTTTTAACTATTTGTTGGATTTGTTTTTTTTTTTTTAAGATTTTGTTTATTTGAGAGAGAAAGCACAAGTGGGTAGAGAGGCAGAGGGAGAGGGAGAAGCAGACTCTCTGCTGAGCAGGGAGCCCAATGCGGGATTCATCTCAGCACCCTGGGATCATGACCTGAGACGAAGGCAGATGCTCAACTGACTGAGTCACTCAGGGGCCCTCATCAAACGCCTTTTAAAAAGGCTAAATCAATATTCTCCCAGAAGTTCTTGAGGCATATTTGGAGAAAAAAGAGAGATCATTTTTAGACACAGCAGTGCATGTGATGTCCTCACAGTGAGAAAACTTTCAGCTCATCCAAAAAGGAGGCGTGGTCTGTGGCCAAAGAACAGAGTCAAGGTCTTTGGCCAGTGTTAGATGAAAGCCATGACCTTGGCCTCATTAGCTGGACTATGTGAGCTCACCATGCAGGTGACTGCGTATTTGCGTGGCAGTTCATGGGAAGCAGGGCTTCTTAACTTGGGTTCCAGTGACAATAGCTAATCATCCTGCTCTTTATGCAAGATTTTGTGTGTGTTTATATTTGTCTAAGAGGGTTTGCATTTTCATTAGATTCTCAAAGGTGGATGTGACTTACAAAAAGTAAAAGGGTAAGATTACACTAGATGAGATTGTTCTAAAACAGCGTCATTTCAATATTTCTTTAAACCTTTCATTACGGAGGTAGATTTCTGTAATCTGAGGTCGATTTCTGTACTCCCATGTTCTTACGGGAGAAGCCCTTTAAATCTGACCTTTTAATATTTATCCTTTTGTGCACTGGAGGGATTTTAAATGTACCCTTTCAGTTGGAGAAATTATTACTTTTACATGAGAGGGAAATGATAGATTGAACCCTCCATTTTTATATATTTTTCAGTCAGGAAGTGATTTTCCCCCTTTATTCTATAAACATGTTTTTCAAAACTCCTTCAACAATCTACTCTGATAGTCTTCTTTCCCCCTCACAATCATTTTAAGGTAAACCGAACCTGCTTTACTCTTTCTAGCATAGAGTGGCTTAAGTCTGGCAAAACTGCACCTAATTAATTGTGAGGGTGTTACTTATTAATGGTAGGATAATATATTCTTAAGTTTATGACAGAAAATTTCCATTCTAGGGACAATTTCCTACAGTCCCTTCTGTCTTCAGAGTGTTCCAGTTCACCTACGTCTTCACTAGCATTGATATGCTGCCTATTTATGTTGTATTGGGAAAGAAATGTCATCAGCAAGGTACAATGTGGATTTTTTAAAAATTCTAGGTTGCTTCATGGAAGGAGTGCTTAATAGAACAAGACAGGACCAAAGCTCTACGGAAAAACAAATCATGTGGTCTTCAGAAATGAGGAGAAAGGCAGCCATCTGAAATGGTCATGAACCCCAAACAAGTCTTCCTCTCGGTGCTCATTTTTGGAGTAGCAGGGCTGCTCCTCTTCATGTATTTGCAAGTCTGGATTGAAGAACAACATACAGGTAACAATTCTTTTTTTCTATTTTACTTGTAATGGTCATTTTCAATGAAACAAGCTGTAGTGTTTTCAGAACTATAGAATGTCACAGTATTTCCAACAACAACAAAAAATAGACACAAACTATAATTCCCAGCTCCTAAAAGAAAGGGTGATTATGAAGTTGTGGTGGGCGTTTGTTCTGTGGACGGGACAACACTTGGAATTTTTATTATATCAGTGGGGAAACAGTGTGGCCCATTAGCCCAGCAAGGACTGCTTGTTAGAGAATTTGTCTACTCAAATGTGTAGCATCTGTCCTACCTCTGATATGCATTGGGCACAAGTCTAAAAGGAACTAAATATACAACTAAATATCTCCTTTAATTCCTTTTCAATTTTTGTGTCAGTACTCAAAATTGGCATGGAAATTCTATAATGCCTTTATTATGAAGCAAGAGTACACAAACCTTGTCTGTAAAAGATTAGATAAAAAATATTTTAGGTTTTGTAGGCCATACCATTTCTATCACAGCTACTCAACCCTGCCAATGTATCACATGAACAGCCATAGATTATATGTAAACAAACAGACCTGGCTGTGTTCTAATAAAACTTTATTTACAAAAACAAATATTGGGCTGGATTTGGTCCACAAGCAGTAGTTTGCCAATTCCTTCTATACTCGTACTTACATCATTCTAGTTTGCCATTGCCATACATTGGAAACACTCAATTACTGTTAAAATGGATTATGTTTATAATGATTAAAGGAAATGTCTTAGAACATTACAGAAATATATACATATATGTGTTGTGAAAATCAGTTGTTTTCCATGAGTAGAAATAACCAATGGCTTATGACTCTTAAGGAAAATAAAGTAAAAACAGAAGAACAATTTCTTAATTCCTTCCAATTGTGGCCTATTTTTAAATCACTCTAGATATTAAACCCTATTCTGAGGGGCGCCTGGGTGACTCAGTCAGTTAAGCCTCCGACTCTTGATTTCGGCTCAGGTCATGATCTCAGGGTCGTGGGATCAAGCCCCGCATCAGGCTCCTTGCTCAGTATGGAATCTGCATGTCCCTCTCCCTCTGCTCCTCCCCTGCTCTCTCTCTCTCTTAGATAAATAAATAAAATCTTTAAAGAAACTACTCTGAAAGATAATTCAATACTGAGTCACAAATACGATAATTTTTCAAGTTGTTTCCGTTTCTAAATCCCTTCCTTGGATTAGCCTCATATACACCTTGGATTTATTTAACTTATATAGTAACTCCTGTGAAAAGAATTTGCATATAACTATTTTCTAGAGGATATGTAACATTGTCAAAACTTATTCTTAATTCCCATTATAAGTTACATGAACTGTAATATTTTCTAAGTTTGCTATATTACTATAGTAATTTATCATAACATAATATTTCATGAAACCATCTATAATAAAGTATAGAGGTTGATTTCTCTTGCAGTGGAGATCTTGTCACATAGTAAGCTCTCGGTAGGTGTTTGTTGAATGAGTGATAAAAAGGTGAATAAATAGATTGAAAATCATTGCAGACTATAGACTGGAATGCAGCAAAAGGGGAAGAATCAGAGATCTCATCATTGGGTCGTTTGCTAATTCCATAGCCTCCTAACAAGGTTCACAAGGGAAGTATCACAACGGGGTTCCAATCTATAAAAGGAAATATATTCATATATATAGAACTCTGGGAGAAATGTTATGGTGTGATATTCTAAATTTATAGATGAGAAAGCTGAGGCTTGGGTAGGCAAGGAACTTATCATCGACCTCACCTGTGCAGGTCTAGGTGTAGAAGGAAGGCTCTGGTTGTGTTTGTGCAAAGTCCATGGTATAGTATCAGTCTGGATACTGACTTGTAAACCTAAGCTATTCACAAGTTCATAGATGTGTAACCTCTTCTGCAAGTTGGATTCTTAATTGAGTTCCTAATTTTTCCAAGTTGGGAAATTATTTTCCCCAGTTACAATGGGCTTGTACTATAATAATATACTATAACTTAAATTGTATTTGTAATTTGCTAGTACTTTCTCTGATTCTCTGTATGTCTTAAATGAATTGTATAATATTTCACAATCTACTCATGATAGTGAGTGTAAATGTTAGAACCAACATTCCTTTAGATAACTATCTTACTGAAGAAACATTTTATTATTTTTAAATAAGACTTCCATCTGGACTTCTGCCTTATCCCAGGCTAGTGCCCTGGGTTGTAATTCTCTAGTTTTCCAGGTAGACCAGTACAGGTGTACTTTTTATATGTGTTTTAGATAACATCGGAAGCATCAGTCATTTTTACAGGAAATTTCTCTTTAAAGCAGAAAATATCTGAATGTGTGCTTTGATGTTAAGTTAAAAATGAAAATTTTGTCTTTTGGACATTTTAGAACTATCACTCAAAGAACTGTGGAAGATGACTTTATTTTGGTTCCTGAGACCCTCTGTAAATAGAGCAGATTTTTTTTTAAAGATTTTATTATTTATTTATTTATTTATTTGAGAGAGAGAGAATGAGAGATAGAGCGCACAAGAGGGAAGAGGGTCAGAGGGAGAAGCAGACTCCCTGCTGAGCAGGGAGCCCGATGTGGGACTCGATCCCAGGACTCCAGGATCATGACCTGAGCCGAAGGCAGTCGCTTAACCAACTGAGCCACCCAGTCACCCAATAGAGCAGATTTTAAAACTCTGAATGATTTTTGATCTCATATACATTTCAGTTGTGTGTGGAACTCTTAGGTTCTTTTCATACCCTGTATTTGAGACCTTTAAAATCTAATAAGATCTGGGCTATTTTCTAAGAAGACTTTCTAGTTTTCCTGGGTTCTTCTGTTAAAATAAAATGGTTTAGAGTTACAAAGATATCTTAAATATGCTCTGATATGCTAGTAAAGATTATGAATAGACAAAGTTTTTGGAGGTGAAGAGGAAAAATATGTGACAAAGAAAGTAAAATCTATCCAGTTATACAACAGAGAGTTCTATAATAACACCCATTTTGCAATACCACACCAATTAAATTATGCATTTCTTTATGCTAATGTGGATGTATTATTGTGAATTTTATTTTATAAATCTTTCCCCTAAGTTGTTAAGAATGCAAGTTTCATATTCAAAAGAATCTTGGAAAATCTCGGATCTACTTGTTAGCTGTGTGACCCTGGGCAAGTCACTTAGCCTCTCTGTGCTGCAATTTCCTCATCTGTAAAATGGGGATTACAATGTTTTCCATGTAGGGTGGTAGGGAGGATTAAAGGAGACTTAGCATGATGCCTGGCAAGTAGTAGGGAACAATGAATGTGAACTTTTATTCTTATTCTGGAAATGATGCAGAACATCTGAGGACTAGCTTTTTTGGAGTTATCAAAACTAAGACTCAACCACAATTCAGGAGAACAATCTTAAGCTTGGGCCTTGCGTGATTTAAAAAAAAAAAAAAGGCTCAGTACCAACTCTAGTTAAAACAGTTAGGACAGTCTAACTGGCACAGAGCCAGCGTGTTGCACAGTGTAGGAATTGGAAGGAGGATGATCCAGTTGAGTGCAGAGAGGAGAGTTGGTGTCCAAAAGGATCTCTGGTCTAGGCAGGGTGCCTCCAAGGTCAGGGTATCCGTTCATTCAGTAGCATTTTCTAAAGACTTAACGATCATAGGTGCCACACTGGTGAATACCCAGATATAGTAGGGAACCAGCTAGAATCCCCGTTCTCAAGGCAACTCAGGTCTCATGGACTGTAAGGGAGAAAATGGCCTTGAGTTCAGGCCAAGGTGCCGGTACAAAAGGACAGTCCATTGTGACAGAAGAGACGGGCCCTCCAGGATGCTGCACAATAATGAGTTGGGACCAGAAGGGCCCAATCGGTTGTCAGTGATGGCATTGCTGAGCTGATGGTAGAAGCGTTGGGCATGGTGTGTGTTGCCGGGGCGGGGTGGAGGGGGCAGGGTTCGCAGGCACAGAGCACCAGAACAGAACAGATACATCTACCGGAAAGATGCGCTAATGGCAAAGGCCAGTTCAGGATAAATCACAAGAATGGGTCACTTTTCCCCAGCGACTGTTGAAATTTGCAATTTGGTGCCGTCTTCCTACAGGTAGAGGGTTAGTGTTAAAGAGAACAAATACCAAAAGGTGTGATACATAGGTGTTTGCTATGTGCAGTAAGACGTGGTGAGGACCCTATCCTAATAGGGTCAGAATCTCAGCTTTAGAAAAGAATGTATAGATCATCTTGTACACCATCTAATTTTTTAAAAGTATAAATCAATTATATCACTCTCTTGTTTAAAATGTTTCAGTTATATCTCATTCTTTTCAACAAAAATTTCTCCCTGGGATGCACAGAGCTGTGTGGGATGTAGTTCTGCCTGCCTCCACTGCCTCACCCTCCCTTCTCTCAAAGTGCTTCCCAGCGTCACCCCTGGTCTCTCAGCAAACCAAACCCTTTGCTGGCTCAGAGCTCTCAACTCTCACTGTTTCAGAAGCTGGGATGTTCTTCTCCCAACTCTCACCTGTCCCGCCTTAGCTCAGATGTCACCTGCTTTGATCAAAGCAGCCAGTCAGCCAAGCGCCTCCACAGCCAATCAAGTCAGCACCCCCATCTTACTCATTTCCATCACCAAAATGTTCCTAATCAGCAACCGCCTCGTGTTAGTATTTGTTCTCATGTTTATTGTCTGCATCGGGTGCTGTTTTACAAGTTCTATGAAAACAGGGACCTTGCCTGTCTCACCTACCTTGGTGTGGTAGGAGCATGGAGCACACATGTGGTAGTATTGGTGTATGGGCAGGTACATAATGCTTCCTTTGGTTTTTCAGCATCCAGCCAAATGACTACATAGACTGTGTTTGAATATTTCTGGGGGCAAAGAATCCACTACTCCTCCAGGCATCCACTCAACTTTATAGCCATCTCCTTGGAAAGTTCCATATCTTAAGCCAGAACTTGCCTCCCTAAATTATGCTTACCTGTTCTAGCTGTGTCCCTGTGAGTACTGGCTCACCCT